TAATATTATAAGATTAGTGAATTTTTAAAAAAGCTTCAAGTATAAACTAATCGTAAATTCTTACGATTGAAATGAATATTTCAAACATTTTAATTGTTAATTCTATGCAAAATATAGTTTAATTATTAAAGGAATATTTTATCATTTGTTTGGAAATAGATTTTACAGAATGGAAAACATCATATTACTTTAAAGTTGAATTCAATATCCAAGTCTGATATTGATCAACTGTATTTAAATTAAATACAATCAGATTGCATCTTGTGAAATAATATGACTGAAAATCTGAAGAATAGGAAAAATTAATTGAAAACCAAAAAATACTGAAAAAAATTAGGTATGCTTTCAATTATTATGAAATAAATCAGATGGTCTTACGAATAAAAAAGAAATAGGTATATATTTAAGAAATTCAGGTACTAAACAAACACATGATTCTAATTGTGTTGTAAATGGAATTGAATATAAGATAACTAATGTTCAAAAGACATATACTTACATTATCATCATCAACAAACAGTTCTGCAATAAGAAATCCACTTATATTATTGGCTGATGCAAAGTCACGCAATACTTTCGTCTCTTTATATTGCTTAGAAGGCTTTAATAAAGATCCCCAATGAGCGGATCTAGTTTCGTGATTGAGTTCTAAAATGACGGGTTTTTTTAAAGCTACTACTTGTTGAATGAGCTCTGAAATAAATATTCAATATAGTTCAACAGTTCGAAATAAATTTCAGTTACATACATGCATTTTATTTAATAAAAATATCTTAAAAACTATCTTCGAGTAATCATATGAAAATAAAAATGTTTCGAATTTCAAGTCATCGATAATTTGATTTGAGTCATAAACTGAAAATATATATATATTTTTTTAATCTATAAACATTCTTATTTTGTACTTAAATATTTGGGACCTACAAGTAATTGATTTAAAAGGAAGATTATAATTTGTTCATCACAAAAATTCATTATTTATAAATTATTATTTTATAAGAGAAGTAGGAAAAAAGTTCGGATTACAATTTGAAAATTGTATTTAAACATTTTAACCTCAATCTATAAATATATAAAAATATCGAAAACGAATTAACCACAACTAGATATTTATGTGTTTACTGTCATAAACAAACCAATAACAACTTTTGTACTCAAAGAAATACTAATGGATAATACATTTCTATTCATTAAGTATTTGTGTTCAATTAGATATTATTTTAAAATGAAATGTCGATACTAGATAATAGTCTACCTACAAGCCAACGAATATCTCTCACATTTTAATATTCAAATAATCTTAAAATGTATTCCAAAATATTTTAAATAAAAAATTATCCATAGCTTATTAATCCAGCAAATTTATATTATTTAAACTAATTGTTTTTCTGTTTCACTCTATAATGAAATCCTCGTGACATTGTAAATACCTGAAAACTAATTATATATTAAGTTAAGCAAGATGATTTTTCAATAATGCCGGGCTTACACGATGCGTAGTACTTGTCATTAGTACTTGTCAATGGCACTCGCACATTGCGTGTAAACATAAAAAGTAGTGCTTAGTATTAATAAAACTGGGAGTTCGAGTGAATAGAACGCCGTTCTATTTATTAACAACAAGTAGCTACCCGTCCACGACTCTACTCTACTTGGGATTGCACTTGAAACGAGTGACTACTTAATGATTAGTATTAGTAATTAGTAATATTTGAGTTATCACGTGTTGCACACTGTGAATTGTGATAATTCTTAATTCAACTTTTAGTTCATCTATGATTGATGAAATTATTATGCTTGAATTATACATCCAACTTTGTTGTACGATATGACAACGGTCCATTATATAATTCTTCACGACTTAATTGATCTTGACGGTTAATTTTTTATATAATAATAATTAATAATATATTATTTACTACTAATCACTATTTTAGGAATTATAATCTTATATTTAATCTTACAATTTAATATAGATATATAATATATATAATACTATTATCATTGATTATCCTATTATGTTACTATCTACTAATACCTAACACTTAGTACGAGTGCGAATGCAAAAGTCGTGTGAACGCTCAAACAATGAGCGAGTGGGAGTGATAAGTGCGAGTGACAAGTACGAATGACAAGTACTACGCATCGTGTAAGCCCGGCATTACCCATTGTTCTATTAAACTATAAATGACTATTATAGTAGTTAATATAAATAAATCGTTATCTATTGATAGTATTTACAAGAAATGTATTTTAATTCAATAGTGTTTATGGGATGAATAAGTTATAATAAATAAATACAATATACACATTATTAATTAAAAATTATACGCTATTATATAATACCATACATAACTACCTTTATCTATATTCAATCGGGATTTCAAATCAATTGAAAATCTAGTGTAAATAATCAAATCACATTCACATGGTATATCTTTAGGATCCAATTTCAATACACCTGGATAAGCTAAATCCATGTTTCCTTTGAATTTACACATCACCGGGTGTAGGGGTAACCTGGGGCCACCTGCAAATAATTAAAATATTTTTTTCAGATTTTTTTTCTTATAATTAACGATTACCCCGTATTAAAAATAATATCAACACACTAATTATGTATCATAATTAACGCTATGTGTATATTTAATTCAAAAAACCGTATTATCTCAATTAATATATATTATATAGGGAAAGGGGAAGCAAACTCACAAACCATTCAACCCTAATCATCTGTATATATAAAACAGTAAGCTGATTGACTGCTATCAACGCACAGCTCAAACCATTGGACGGATCTGGCTGAAATTTGGCATACAGATAGCTATTATGATGTAAACGTGCGCTAAGAAAGGATTTTTCGAAATTTTGAATTTAAAGGGTTGAAATCGGTTTAATATTTTTGACCAGGTCGATAATATTAAATAAAACTATTAAAAAATTATTAAAAAACTATTAAAAACTATTTAAAAACTATTAATTTTATTTTTGGTAGTAAATGACGGGTATTGCATAAATATTAAACAAAAAGATCCCACAACAGGTGCCAAAACAAATAAGAATGTTAGTTCAAAAAATTATTATGCATATTGGTTGATGATTAGACGCGATCAGGACTAAGTTATTTTACGATGCATAAGCTTTGTCAACAATTCATGGTCGAAATATATATAAAGATAGATAGCGAACGATTTCGATACTTCGATTTCGATTTAATCAAAAAAAGATGCGTGCAAAAGATTCTCAAAACAATTGTTAGATATTGGAGATGGGAAAGTTACTACAGATGAAACGGGATGTATAAAATTACCGAACGATTTCTACACAATCATTTATTCGCACGATGCTCTCATTGACCAGATAAGTCCCAGTGTACACAGATAATACACAAATCATGAGTGGCTGGCAGAAAGAGCAATTTTAGTAGCAAAAAATGTGGAGGTAAACGAATTGAATCTCAAGATAAAAAATTTGTTACCAGAAATCTTGGTGTCATACAAATCTAGATACAGTTTGCGATGCTACTGAAGTTGTAAAATTATCCAACAGAGTTTTTAAACTCATTGGATTTACTAGGCATGCCATCGCATAATTTACAATTGATCATTACAATTAACCATCGATAAAATACCTCCTTTAGAGGCATTTAAAGTTGTAATACATGCAGATAAAAAACCACCAGAAGAACATAGAGGCAGGTATAATGCACCAACGGCAAATGAAGTTGCTTTAGTGTCAGTAGATCAGCAGTTTGATCGAAGAGACATCATCCTCGAAAACCGAAGTAACTCACTTCACCGTATCAGGTATCAGTGAGATACATCGAGCATACGACGCACTGCAGTATCCTTTAATGTTTTGTTGGGGGGATGATGGGTATGCAATCAATATACCACAACGCGATCCAAAAACCATGTTACCGCTTAAAAAAACTGTCTCTGCATCAAGTTCTTACTCATATAGAATAATGGTCAGAGAAGGGGAAGACAACTATTTAGTTAATTATCGTTCTCTTTTCAGTCAATATTTGGTAGATGAATACGCCAAAATTGAAACTGAAAGACTAAATTACATCAAAAACAACCAAGCCAAATTGCGTGCAGATAGTTATATTCATTTAAAAGATGCGATTGGACGACGAGACATAGAAGCTAATCAGTTAGGCCAAATGGTTATACTCCCGTCAACTTTTACTGGTGGGCCAAGGTACATGCACGAAAGAACACACGATGCTATGACCTACGTTAGACATTACGGTCGTCCTGACCTTTTTATTACTTTTACATGTAATCCTCGCTGGGACGAGATAAAAGAGCTCTTACTTCCCGGTCAAAATTCATATGATCGACATGATATAATTGCAAGAGTGTTTCGGTTAAAAGTCAAAAAGACCATGAACTTTTTGACAAAAGGTAAAATATTCGGAGAAGTGAGATGCTATACGTATTCAACATAATACCAAACTGTAGAGAGGTTCAGGTAGTTGTAAGCTATAACTTATCGAATAGGTTATGATAATAATCATTATCTTAAAAACTAAATTAACATGTATAAAATATTATTTCAAAAATTTAATTAATTTAAATTTCAATAGATTTAACAAAATTTAATCTTGGTAGGTTACATACATTTATATACTTAGACCCGGCAACGACGGGTAATTCAGCTAGTCTATCAAATTATGGAATTATAAATGACATTCTTTGCAACAATATATATTATTTTCATTACTAGTGTTCAGAATAATATATATGCTCATGTTCTTTACGGCTAATATAAGTGAATATATGCACAGATCAAAATAATTTTTGACTGGTCCAACGTCCCCCCTCACTACTAGTTAATCGGCACTTTTATAAAATGATCCTTCCAGA